ATTTCTTCCCCGTCCAAAGCCAGTTAACCGGATAGCCAGTCTCCCTTTTCCTTTCGTCCCAAGGCGAGTAATACTCTCTCTAATACGACACGTATACGTACGACCGTAGTACGTTCCTTTACAAATATCCCACCAATTTTCTTTATCTACCATCCTCGTGTCGCGACTCTCGCATAATGTGTACTTTGCATCTCTATCGATCCATGCTACGTGCAAAGTACATACACGCAGTATATACGTGTATATATATATATATATATGAGTTGTTCGGAAAGTAATTTCGTTTCTTCACGCGAACGTCGCTAGTCGAATGTTTTATCCAGCCAACTTCATTCTAAACCGTGTTGTTAATTATTATATTTTGAGAGTTGACATTTCGTGGTTTATTTATATAAGAAAAATTCGTTTGATTCTTTGTTTTTTCTAGTACGTTCCTTTACAAATATCCCACCAATTTTCTTTATCTATCATCCTCGTATCACGACTTTCGTATAATATATACTTTGCATTTCTATCGATCCATACGCGCAAAATACACACCCAATATGTATATATGAATTGTTCGGAAAGTAATTTCGTTTCTTCACGCGAGTGTCGCTAGTCGAATGTTTTAACCAGCCAACTTCATTCTAAACCGTGTTGTTAATTATTATATTTTGAGAGTTGGCATTTCGTGGTTTATTTATGTAAGAAAAATTCGTTTGATTCTTTGTTTTTTGTAGTACGTTCCTTTACAAATATCCCACCAATTTTCTTTATCTATCATCCTCGTATCACGACTTTCGCATAATGTGTACTTTGCATTTCTATCGATCCATACGCGCAAAATATACACACGCAGTATATATATGAATTGGTCGGAAAATAATTTCGTTTTTTCACGCGAGCGTCGCTAGTCGAATGTTTTATCCAGCCAACTTCGTTCTAAATGTTATTGTTATTATTATATTTTGATAGTTGGCATTTTATTTATATAAGAAAAATTCGTTTGATTCTGTGTTTTCTGCGCGTGATAAAAAAGACCAAAAGAAGCATTTTTATCTATTTTACTCTTTTATCACCGAAAAGGTAAGAACATCAGTATCAAAACTGGTTTTCAAAACTTCGACATTAAAAATATGCCACGGAGGACACATTTCTGGAAGACCGGTTGAACATGATGAAGACAAAAAAGACAAAAGGCTTAAAGGCACCGATCGAGGGAAACCGACGACTAAATAACCGACTGGAGAAACTGCCACGAGATTGAATTTCTCCAATGTGTGATCTCGCGAAACGTGAAACGATTCGATGTTTCATTGAAAAAAGAAAAGAAAAAAAAAAAAAACGAAATTACTTTCCGAACAAGCCAATAACAAAAGACATACAAGATACACAAAGGAAGGAGGAAAGGAAGGATATTCGTGAGTTTGCGCGCGTGCCCTATCCCAGAGAGAATATACAAAAGTATCGCGAGAACTAGATGGAGGGCGTGATTAAGGGGCAGCGGTGGGACCACACGGGGCCCTTTTACGGTCAGCCGGGACCCGTCCACGGCTAACAATGTTTGTTATACGCAGAGACGCACGTCGCGGAATGTACGCATTATATCATTACGCATTATTACCCATTACATACCTCGTTACACCGTGTGTATATCGTATATTATGCCGCCAAGTCGACGGAGGAAAAAAAAACTCTGTGCGATTTCTGTGGACCGGTGATGGGACTGACTCGCGGGACCATTACCATGCAACCTGCGAGAACCCGCGTATATATCCGCGTAATACATGGCAAGGGATATCTAATTGTATAGTAAATAACCTTGGTAAATTACGCGTATAACGCCGGATAAGGAAGGGGTATTGTGCGCCACCTATCGCGACATCGCGTCAATCTCCACCATTGTCGCGAGTACATTCGAATGCGCGATCATAGGCAACGCTATGGTGAGTTATGGTGTTCTCTCTCTATCTCTCTCTCTCTCTCTCTCTCTCTCTCTCTCTCTCTCTCTCTCTCTCTCTCCCTGCGATCGTTCTTTGAGGCAGGATTATTTTTGAGAATGTTTCTTGCGGAATTAATTATAGTGTGGCGAATGTATGATTTTTGATTGGTCATTTTTTGAATTGGCCATTTGAAGAAGATTTTTTTATTAGAGATTATAAAATTGGATGAAGACACTACGTTGTAACAATTGCGAATAACAATGTGCAAAAGAGATTAGAGATTTTTATGGAGATAAGATGATAACGAGATATTGTGGTGATATCGTAGATAAATTGTTGCAAAGATTGCAAAAAAAAAAAAAAAGTTTTAAATACGAGTAGTGCGAAAACAAATCGATTTAATTAAAACGACAACTCGATAATTCCGGAATTTATCTTTCGATAAATAATTCATATCTACAGTTTCATCGTAATCCGATCTTTAAACTCTTGAAAAAAGTTCTCTTGAAAAAGAGATAACGAAAATCATAATGCATCATCTCCATCCGTGATGTCACGGCACTCACAAAATTCGAATTAAAATTCCGAACAAAGAGCCGATTAATGCATAGATTACTCACGAAAAAGGCGATTCCGCGAATTGAAGCGTTGAAAGAACCGTGAAACCGACGCAACCGGGTCCGGGCGTAACCCGGAACAGACAGGGGTTACGCAACCCGTACGAAACCTTCCAGCGTAACATTGACTTTTTCAAGTGTAATTGCCTCTCGCGCGCTCCGATTACTAATCGACGCGGCCGGTGAACGTGACACACATTCGATTTTAACCTCGCCGCCAGCCACTGGTGCGCACCGCGTTTGTACCGGGCCATTGTCCGCTTCGAGCATAGAGAGAGAGAGAGAGAGAGAGAGAGAGAGAGAGAGAGAGAGAGAGAGAGAGAGAGAGAGAGAGAGAGGAAAAAACCGCGGGAAAATCGTCGATCGCTCGTGGAAAGAAAGAAGTGTTTCGAAATGGAAGAGAAAAGGAGAGAAGAAACGAATGCATTCTGGAAGGTAAGGAAAAAAGAAAAAAAATGATACGTTTAGCCTTCGAGCAACGAATGATTCCAATTGAGTCATACGTGGGTTATTACTTTTTTCTTTTTATTGCTATCTAGAAAAAGAAAAGAATTCTGCAAAGCTGAAAAAAAAAAAAAAAAAGGCAGGTATAGCCTTCGAACAATGCGGATAGTTTGGATTGAGTTATTACTTTCCTTTTATTTAAAAAGGAAAGGATTCCGAAAGATTATTTTTTTCGAACGAAATTTACAAATATGCGCACGATGATTGATGAAAAAAGATGTAATGCTTTTTATCCGTTTCTTCCCGAGAGGTAACGTTAGAAACAGTTGCGTGAAATTGTCCGCGAATTTGGCTCAAAGGGATACGAAATCGAGAAGGTGTAGTTTATATGAAAATAGGGATGTAGATATTATGTTAGATAGCATTTTGAATACGTTACGTGATTCCGTTCTGTAGCGGAGACACGCTTCGAGCGGTGCACCGCAAGGGAGGCAACGTTACGAGGATCCGGATTTTCAAACCAGTTCGTCCGAGTATTAACAGTTAATAATAGTAACGTGTAATTGCGATATTCTAATATCGGGCGTGGATCGAGAGAGAAAAATGCGAATAACACGTCGAGTTTGTAACAGCTGCTCGGATCGAACAATATGGCTTGACGCGATATATTACTATAATAATTAGGTTCATCTTTGATCGGTGCAAGAGACGATTCATTATTCAACAGAGTTGTAACGTGTTAATATAATGAGACAGCAAAATTATACGTCTCGTTCGATCATGCGAATATAGCCACTTTCTTCTATTAAATCTTGGAAACTGGATACTTAAATATTTGAATATCTTCGAGAGATATTAAAAAAGCATAAAAAAATTTAAGCAATACAAGTAATACAAATAATAAAAATTGCTCGAGCGTGGTGATATAAAGAGAAATAAGAATTCAAAATATCTCGAAAAATAAAGGGTTCGACGAATCAAATATGTATTGGATATTTTCAAAAAATTGGCAACTCGTAGACTAGTGTTCTGAAACTTAAGTACTCGCAAACTCGGCTACCCAAGAATTTATGTACTCGCGAATCAAGGTACCGGAGAACACGGATATTCGAGAATACAGATACTCTAGAATGCAGGCATTCAAGGGTATAAATTTCGACGGCGATCAACACGCTCCTCCGTTCGTAGGACGAACCACTAACGGTAAGGGATCAGCGAGAAAAAGGGCAAAAAGACGAGAGACGAAGAAGAGAAAAACGACTTACCAGTCTCGATTTACGATCATCTTGTGGGAGAAGTCTCTGCCCCTTTGACCGCCATTTTTTTAAGATGACGCTAACAAATGGAGCGCATAGAATGTTTCGGAGCCCATCAACTCAGAAGGGGAACTCGGAGGGGTCGGCTTTGAAATGTACATGAATCACGATGAACGAAAAGGTTGCCGCACGTTTCGTGGAAGACGACGAACACAACGATTGCGAAGAAAGTTTTTTTTTTTTTAACGACGATTCGACATTGTAAACAATGGAGCGTGTGCCTCTCTTCGGGCAACGGAACGATCCTAATCGTGAAACGTGGAAACTGTGGTAGCGATAATCGTACGAATCATATTGTGTTGCTTAACTATGATCTATATTGCGAATGATAACCTTGGTCTCCAGAAATGGGACGCCATTTGTTCGACCATGAAATAAATAAACTTTAACCGTTCCGATATCGGTTTAATTCTTTTACGGATTAATATCAGTATAACCGAGTAATTACGAATCTATCTACCGTACGACGATCTTTAATAGATCGAGTGGTAAAAACACTCGATCGGTTTTCAGGACGTACAATCACTCAGCCTCGGACAAGTATCAACCGTTTTCTCGATCGAACATGGAGAGTTCCGTTACCCTATTAATTCGCCAAAAATTCCAAGAAACCCGATGAAGCAACCTGGCCCTCCGGGACATAAGGTCCACTGGACACGTCGCTACGAAAAGGATATCCAACTTAAATTTCCACTCACCTGCTCCCACTGCCTCCGATCCAGAACGTGGTGAACGACGGTCGCCGTGAGGCACGTCCGCTTGCAAACTAATTTTTGTTTTCCCCACTGGTAACTCCACTATGGCACTGTATTACTGTATGTGTACTATACGTATCTAACTTCTACAAGTATACGTAGATACCGGGCGTATGTTCCCGAGACCACGAAAAGGGGATGCGTTCGCGAGCCGAGGCGACAAATACGAGAAAATCACGTGAAACCACCGTTTCGTATTTCAATGTGCGCCGGACGGAAAAATGTCGAAAAAAGACGAAATAACCGGCGGAGAGAAAAGGAGAGTGACGACTGGCCCTGCTCTGACACAGATCACTGACCAATTCCGCTGGAGGACTGACGCGATACTGACTCGACATCGCATCTGGCGAGGAGCGCGACAACCGGCTTCGCGGCGTTCGGCCGGCTTCGACCAACTTCGGCACCGTTCGCCACTCGAACCTGTGGCTACGGATTTGTACGCGTATTCAACGAACGCGCGTCCCTACGCGATCGTAACAGTGTGTGCGTACAAGGTACTAGGTATAGTACATCAAGGTAAGTAACGTGTACGAAGGTATAGGTACGCCCACGCAATTTAGGCCCCTGACGATAATGAAGAACTCGGCTGTACCTTACGTGAGCGTGCATTATGGCCGCGTTCGCGCGTTGATACCGCCTCGCGGAACGTGCGCATTTCGATGTGCGCAGTTTGATGGTGTGCGTGCGCACACCATGGAATTCGAGAAGCGATAACGTTGCAATTTTTGGCAAGAATAACGTTAATCGTACAAACATTTCTTCGATCGTACGTTTGCTTCTGTGAAAACGGTAGGTTTAGATCGCTATTATCGATAGCATTGCTTGAAGAAAGAGATACGCCGGAGGATGGATAGAAATGTAATACCGAGGGCAATACGACGAAAAGTCACGTTAATTGCGGGATTATTGCATTAACCCTATTTTTTTTCTGCTTCGTTTCACATTACGCTAAGTGTATTACCTTGTAGAAATATTGCCGCGTATCGGTATCGGGCCTTTCTTTCCTATGGAGAGAAACTGGTTTCACGTTTTGCACACGCGTTCACTAATAAAATCGCGACAGCCGCGAGCGATAATCGCAGTAACCGCGCTCGACTTTTCGATTCGAACTAATTTTCGATACGTACGTAAAATGGCGTGGCGCGGTGATCGATGTTCACACCGGCCCCCTCTATCGATCGTTCGGCGAATCGTAAACCAGGGAATTATACGATGCGAATATTATATATTTAATAAAACGTATTTCATCAAGAATCATAATTTTTGCACTCGCTTTATCCATATCAATCGATCTTCTTCGAAGTAGTAAACAAAAAGAATCTTCCTACATCTATCACCCTCCGCGTTAATTTGTCGTTGAAGATGTAACGAGCACACGGGGGAGTATGTACAAGTTACGCGAGTACGTTACCGCATCTTACGCGTAACATACTGCAAACAACCGAGTCCGACCGAGAGTTGAAAGAGAGAGAAAGAGAGAGAAAAAAAAATCGGATGTCGCTTTCGAGGATCTTTAGACACGCATATACGAACGAGTCGCATATACGAGAGGACGCGCGCGTTACCCGGCAGATTTAATTATAAGTAATCCCGCGTCCTCGGTGAATTTAATGCGCATGACCATGGATCGAAGATGCAAGGATTTAAAGCCGTGTTACCGGCCCCGTTATGAAAAACCGACATTACGCCTGATGATACGGACTCGCATGCGGTGCCACGTTTCTGAATAGCGGAGGCGGAGGAGTGGAGGGGCGCGCGCGGTCAGACGGTAGAAAGAAAAGGGAGGGGGGGAGGGGGAAAAAAAGGAAAAAGAGATAAAGAAAAAAAAAAAAGGAAGAAGGATCCATACGCGGCAAAGCAACACGCTAAACAGTACATTTGCAATCATGAGGGTTGGCGGATATGTAAATGTACGTGAGACATTGATCACGCACACAAGGTGCGCCATACCGCGCGGGTGTTCGCGTAAATCCTCCTTGTTTTTCCGCCAAGGGAATAACGAATGAACGCCAGCGGATTCCAGGAGAGTTCGGACCCCCTCCCTCCCCCGCCTCCTCTCGCGCACAATTAAAACGAGAAACACGGTGGACAAGGTGGAAAAGCGTTGCGATGTAAGACACGTTTTGCGAATATATCAGACTACGTAGCGAAATTCTACCGAGGTCTTGCTCGAAACCGGCTTCCTTAATGAGAATCCTATTTTTTTTTTTTTTTTTTTTTCCTTTCCTCCCTCCTCAGATACTTTAATTGCCCGCAACCTCCCTTTCTCGCCCTTTATACCGATCCTTTCTCGCTTGCTTTTAACGCCCTTTATTTGTTTTGCATCGATCCACGCGCATTCCCCGCGCTTTATTGCCGATCGAAGAATTTACAATCCGGTGTGTATAAAGCGTTCGAGACGAAATAAGTGGATAAAATTTAAGGACCGACGATTCTCCAAGTATCACTCTATATACATATATATAAAATGGAATCCAGAGAAATAAAGAAGACAAAAGAAGGAAATAAGGAGGGGAGAGTAGGAATCGTAATCCGCGTGGAATTAATTACGTAATAACGAATCCATTTCAACCCCTTCCACTTATTGCACGATAACTTATTACACGATGGCCGCGAATCTACGTGGAATTTAACCTCGAACTTCCGTCCAGGGTTCGCACGGGACAACCGTGTCTCCGGTTATGAATCAGGTCGAACGTTTTCCCTGCGGTGCAGCAACGACGACGACGACGAGACGATGAACCGCGAGGCCGGATCGTGAGATAATTATGGAAATGAATTTCGATCGTTAGGGAGGCGTGGACGCTGACGTCCTCTGTGACACGACCTGCCCTCGACCGAACATACCCACCATCATTTTCCCTACAATTTTCGTGCCTGCGTGTAAACACACCGAACGGTATATTATATCGTATTACTACGTTCCTCCATCGCTGGCCAACGAACTTCTCCACAAGCAACCTTTTCGAAACGGTCAACGTGGTTCCCCGTTTAATTAGAATCCAAGCGCGACGACAATTTGCACGACGAGAAGTTTTTCTTTCTTTCTTCGGTGAACGGTTATCTCTCGGGTCTATCGTGCGAGATGTGCTTAAATCTTAGCTCAATGGTTGTGTATAGTATTGTATATAAGTGTTAAGTGATAAAGAGTTTAAAGAGTTTGTAAATTTTTAATTTCGCAAGAGAGATGCGATTAATCTTCGAATTCTTCCTCGCGCGATACTCTTCCGTACATTTTTTCCCTTCTCGCTAGGATTAAACGTAAAGAGAGAAAGAAAAAAGAGAGAAACATTAATTTCCCCGTCAATTTCTTATCATGTTTCGTTACAGGTGACGAGCGACCTCGAAATTCCAAATGGTCGATTTTCGAGCGAACACGCTCGATTCCTCCGCTTAATTACGCATAAACGTCGTTAAGATATCCTAATCGGCCGGGGACAGAGACCGTTGGGCCGGTTGGTGAAAATTGAATTCGATCGAGGCGAATTCAGAGACATCTAGGACGGAACATTTAACGGAAAACGGCTGGACGCTTTAACCGTCGGATCGGGTCCGGGTTTCGAGTCGTTAAAAGCACGGTGAATAAATTACGCGTGCAATATCCTATCTTGGACGGAGTAATTATGGATCTCCTTCCAACGAAACGAGTAAATATGTCTCGCGGATGAGATAGAAAGAAAGGGGAAAGGCGCTCGTCAACCGGATTGGATGGAAATACCGCTTCCCGACCGCGTAAAAATCGTGCAAATGAATTGGAAGTTGTTACATTCCGTGCGAAAAATCCATACGTGATTATGGTTACGAGTCGCTAGCGTACGAGTAGCATGAGGAGGATCACGGAATGGGCTTGCCTCGTCTCCACTTCATTAGCTCCTCGCTTCTTTTATCACGTGTCTTCGAGATATATATTTCTCGAAAATAGTCGGAGAGCGTAGAAACGGGGAATATATAGGCGTTGTACATCGATTTTAAATCGCCAAGATCTTGTATCAAATTGTAACCGATCGACACGAATTCCTAAATAGAGATTATCTCTTGGAACAAGTTTGGTATGGGATAGGAAGATTTGATACGGTAGGGATCTTGGAACGAAGCGTTTTACATATAATTTTCATAATATCAATTTTTTTTTTGAATCGTAATAAACGAAATTTATCGTAGAATTAGTATGTAAATTGTCGCGTAAATGCCACGGTAAATAAAGATCAAGGACTAGTAACAAGAATCGCGTATTTATTTCTTCCATGATAGAAATTAGTACTAATCTAACTTATCGAGCGATCTATCGATGATTTTTACAAAATCCTCGTTAAAATCGGATACCAACGGATTCGAAAAATTTCGAATAAACTTTATATATATATCGTTATATTATATTTCACTTATTCGATGCTTCGAATGATATAATTTATATATAACTCGTTGAGATAATTTTCTAACTTCACATCCGTGAAAAGGATAATCAAGCGAAAGAATATGCCATTGGAAAGAATAGTTAAAACTTTCGAACAAAGTTACTTTGACCGATTATTCGTTAAAATGCTCGAATAACATTTATTCTTAGCTATTATAATAGATATTACTTTTCGTATATAATCTCGGCAATTTGCCGCTACAATTATTTCCAATCATTATTATTACGTTTTGAACGCAATAAATTATGGAAAAGTAGCTATTAAATCTTGCTCATCACCTGACGCCTACAAGTCTCACCGACTGCGGTCCTTGCCACGATGCGCCACTTTTAGGCCGCTGTTAGAACTTACATACATCGATTTTGATCCCGTTATGGTCGCCGTGTTTTTCCAACCGACACGGTGCACGTACACGCGCACGCGCGTGTACGTATCTGTGCGCAAGCGCATGCGTGCGTGTGTCGGCCAGCCATTCCGCCTATATCTGATCTTTAGCGTCGTCATTACCGTAATTGCGGTTAATCGTGTTTGCAATTTTCTTTCGTACCCACGTGATCCGCGCGCGGCCTCCGCCTTCAACTTCTTCGCCGCCCCGGCCGACGTATGGTTAATTCATGCTGCCAATTAGAATAGTAATTCCGTTTCATCCTCCGCTTCCACACCACGAGCGAAGAACCCGATCCTCTGCCGTGTGCCGTGGCATGGCCTTGGCATTGTGACCCATAAATAGCAATGGAAATTGAAATAAACCACGTTCCTTCTCTGATATTCGCGTTCTTCGTTTACCGAAATACGAAATCCCCGAAGGAGAGAAATTTCGTAGATTTTCACCGCTATTCTTCAATGATTTCTTTTTTTTCTTTTTTTTTTTTTTATTTATCGAGCTTTTTTATTTATCGGATGTTTCGTCGTCCGTGTCAATTTTTTTCCCGTTTCAGAGATATTTATCAAAGACGAGTACGTATGTTACGGGAATAAGTTTTCAAAA